CATGTAGATAAACAGCAAGAAAAAAATCACAAAATACTGGGACTTGCAAATTGAGGTTGAGCGACTGTGGAAAAAGAAATTAGGTGTTGTCCCACTTGTAATTGGAGCCCTTGGAGCAGTCCTAAAGGGCTACCTCGCTATTTGAAAATTCTAAATTTACCTGACTTGAACATTCTGACACTACAAAAAACCACCCTACTTGGAACAACTTATATCTTCCGACGTTACCTTAACAGTTCCTAGGTCCTTGGTTAGGATTCAAGCTGTTGAGCTACCAACCAGCCCCAAAGGCTGTGAATCTCACCAAAGATTAACATAATAATAATGATAGTAGTAGTAGTAGTAGTAGTAGTAGCAGCAGCAGCAGCAGTAGTAGTAGTTGTTGTTAAAGACCTAGCAAGGGCTAAGAGCAAGGAAGTTGAAGAAAAAAATAGAAAGACAAATTCTGGCCACACAAGACCAAGCCTTAAGAACAAATGCATGCAAAGCCAACCTTGAGAAGACAGCAACAGACAGCAAATACTGCCTCTTCAAAGCTGAAGAAACCAGATCAAACCAGTTAGGCAGATGTTGTGGGGTAGATACCGTGGGAGCAAGGCAAATAATCAGGCCTTATGCTACGCACAGCCTTTTCAAACCTCTCCCTGTATGATTTAGAATGTTTAATTTGCATGAGAATTGAATTGAATTAGCAAAATAGCTCAGTAAGCCTACTGTACTTAATTGCCAGCAAACAGCAGGTTCTTAGAGCAGGACGGTGGATTTCTTTTTTCTAGAGGGGGAGGTGGCTCAATGCTAGCCACTCTATATGTGGATAACATGGGATTTAAAAGCTAGCCTTCTAAATAAGATCATGTTTTTGCATGTTTTTTGTAACATTCAAAATAACACAAAGAGCCTATTGTTCATTAACCTTTGCTTTGAAACATATTTCAGGACAAGACCCGAGTTGTATCTCCTATCATTGATGTAATTAATATGGACAATTTCCAGTATGTGGGAGCCTCAGCTGATTTAAAAGGCGGTATGTATTTTATTGGAATATGAAGTCTTTCCTGGGTCTCTTAATGTGTCACAATAATCCAGATACTAGCTTGAGAAATGTACTTTTTTTTACCTTTGTGTAAATAAATGGAGTAAAATGTCAAAGCATGCTTCCAGCCTTTAGAACAACATTCATGTTTTTTTTCAGTGTGCAACAGAAATCTTGCAGACAGTAAGGTCCTTTCTGCTAAAAGGCCCAGATCTAAGGGATGGAAAACATTTTTGCCTGAAGTCTTAAAAGAGATGCTATAGAAAATACATACAAATATCCTGACACCCCACAGAACAGCTTTCTGTGTTTTTTATAGTTCCATGGCTCAGAGGTGGGAACTGCCAGTTTTGAACCTGTGAGGTTTGTGTCTCAGCTTTGTCAAGAAGACTTGGGAAATTGAAATAAAACAACATATTTTTGGAGTATAAGACGCACCAGAATATAAGACGCACCTTAGTTTTTAGGGAGGAAAAAAAAGGGGGGGGGGAATTCTGCCTACCAGGTATTCATCTAGTTAGGCCTTAGCCTGGTCAGCTTCAGCACATTAGTTTGCTTGCTGGTTTTGAGGTTGGGGATGATGGGTGCTGTGCTTCTAAAGCATAGTTGATTGCCGGAGGGAGCAGCAATTAAAAAAGCAGGCAAAGCATGGAAGATCACTTAGCTCATGTTTGGGCTGAAACACAGCTTCAAAAGCACAGCGGATCCTCTGAGGGAGTTCCAGTGATTAAAGCAGGCAAAGCAGAGAAGGGGTAAGAGAAGACAATAGCTGTTCCGGGTAGCCATTTTGGGTACTGCACCTCAAGCATTTGGAGGCTGAAAACGCAACATGCAGAGCCCAGAAACACAAGACATTGTTGGTGGTAATCTGCAGCCAGGAAGAGACCGTACGGAAGCCGAAGGGTAGGGTAGGGGCCGGCAAGTGGTAGGGCTACATTTGGAGTATAAGATGCACCCAAATTTTCAGCCTTTTTTAGGAGGGAAAAAAGTGTGTCTTATACTCCGAAAAATATGGTACCTGTTTTCCTTTTCTTGCTTTCTAAAACATTTCTATATATTCAAGGAAAGGTAGTGAAAATGATAAAAAAAACTCTCCTAAGTGATGTATGTATTCAGTATCTGGGATTGAATTTACATTCAGGACCTGCAAATCTGGTCCATAAAGGAGAAACTGTATCTAGATTAGAATGAAATCGAATTCTAGTCATTTGCTGAATTCAGTTCAGGTAGCAGCACTAAGCTGACCTCAAGAAAAGCTAATCAGGATCAGATCTGATTAGTATTTGGAATGGGGGAAACTACCAGGGCTGTTCTAGGGTTATTGGTTAAACCAGTGATTCTCAGCTTTAAACACTTGAATATGTGTGGTCTTCAATTCCCAGAATTCCCCAACCTGGATGGGTGGCTGGAGGATTCTGGGAATTGAAGTCCAAATAACTTCAAGTGGTCAAAGTTGAGAAACACTGGGCTAAACTGAGAAGTTCAAAGAACATCAGAAAAGATAGTTAATATCAAATCACATCCGCCTCGCTGCTGAGAAAGGTACGTCATTGTGCCTTTGAAGTCACCAAGAGTCAAGCTTATCTAGCAGAATGTTAATTGCTTCACTTAAGTAGATAAAAAGAAGAAAATAGATTGGGAATTCCAGCACATTGTTTATTAATTTCAAGCCTCTTGATCATGGGAACTCAAAATATATTGAACTTGAACATTTTGGAATGGTTGCTTTAAATCTTATGTGGGTTGCTTAAGTGTTTTTGATCTTCAAATATCCCTATTTGAACCCTGAGCTGGCTGTTTTGAAATTGATTCAGAGCTGCTCTGAATTCAAATCACTCCTGGAATTGTTGGAACATCCTGTTTTGAAATTAAAAGCACTGTTTCAAATTCAGAATATTTTGTACCCTCCATCTCCTGACACTTTCATCAACTGCTTCAGGATAATATAATCAGAGTCATCTACAGAAAGCCAAGTTTGCATCACAATGATGATATATGTTGTGATACGAATTCCACCTTTACTTGAGTCTCAACATTTGATGCAAGTGTAGAAATTGGATTTTTTAAAAATATATTTTAATGCATTATTCGTTATTTATCTCTCTTTTCTATTGACATCCCTACTGGTGCTGTGTAGATATATATCTGGTTCCTGGTTCCTTGACAATTTAAATAAGGCCACGATTCTACATCTCATATAATGTGAGAAAAGAACTGTGTTTATGTCTGCATGTAATGTATCTTTATAAACATGCTTTTCTAAAATAATGTGAAGGGCTGAACAAATAGATTTTATCTTCAACTCTCTGCAAGGGAATCCAATTGCAATATAATATTTTAGCAATATTGGAACAGCCAATGTTATAGTATTGAGGATTTTTAAAAAAGATAAGGAAGAACACTAAGTATTGATTTTTGATTTCAGGTTTTCATATTTGTCCTTTGTGTGAAGGATTTGTCCTTCATTTGTTTTGTAAAATGAATTAGGAAAGCCTAGACGTGAATTTTCTTGAATTCAAAGATGAAAAGCAAAGAGGGAAATCTGGAGCCCTAATAATAGCATTGCTATCAAAGTCTGTTGTAGCTAAGGTTAAGAACACATTTGTATCCTTGACATCATCAATCACCTCTCCTGGGTACTCTGTTACATTCTGTATGGCATCTATTGTGAGGGTTTTTTGCTCTGGATATTTGATGATCGTGGCAGTCTATTTTGGCATGCTATAATAGGTAGAATCCCTTGAGTGTAAAAATGCTGCTCTTACAGTATATTGCCATTCTCAGCATAAGAAATGTAATTTTGTAATTGCGCAATTTGGGATCACAACTGTAATTGTGCAATTTGGGATCACATGTAGTTGTGAAAAGGGTTGAAAAAGGAGACATTGGAATATAGGTGGCAATGATTTGATTTCAGTATGAAAAAAAAATAAAAAGGCGACATCTGTGTGGTCCTGTAACCACACAGGTTATCTCAGTGCCCAGTCTGCGATGACCCTCTGATCAAACTGAGCTGATATGTTCATGTTATGTATTAGTGTCAGTAGTACTTCTTTAATACCATGGATGTTACAGGTTTTCCTGTGCTCTATTATTCATTCGTGTTCCAAAAGAGCCCCCTAACGTTTACTGGTGTGTATATACATGTTGAGGTTTTAACTTTGTTTTTATATTAATGGCATTTTATACAGTGAAATGTAATGTTTTGCTGTAAATGAAGACTTGGTAAGCTCAGCATGTTGCTCTATTACTCAACACAGTGTAGTATTAAAAGGAAGCATGTTTTTCAAATGACATGGCTATAATTTCCAATGGTGGAAATTGGATCTTTTTTTTAAAGTATGGTATTCTATTAGCATGGAAAAGTACTGCTGGTTGCCCGAAAGTCTTATGTGCCTAAAATGCTAAGAATGCAACTAAACATCTTTTGAAAAATTGTATGCAAATGTAGCACTTGCGACATCTTTGGGAAATTACATGCTGCAAGATCCATAGCATGATTAACATGGAAGATAGTTTTAATCTACCTTTAATGGGAGGACTCAGCAGCCCACATTCTGATAAGTTATCAGAGAGGAAAGCTAGTAAGAGGCAGTACTGAGTACTGTAGTATTGAGTAGTACAGTAGTGGCAATACAAGCAGGAGGATAGCTAGCAGGAGGCTGTCCAATCCACACACACACACCCTTTCATTGTTATATTCTGATGTTGTATGATAGCTGGATAGTGGTTTCTGCCAAAGACAGTTCTTGGAGAAGAGGGGTTTAAGCAAAAGATGGTTCCCATGGAGCTTGAGGAGGTGTCAGTGGATTGCCATTCCTTCAAAATGTAGTCAGATGGTATCTGCTGTGGGAGTGGAGAAGCTAAAATAATATTTTTGGAAATAGCAGCTGGAGGTAGAAAAATTGCCAGGGAAGACAAGAAACACAGATTCAAGCTTCTGACTTCGGTGCCATCTACTGATCAGATCAGTTTATATCTGCTGCTTACACATAGATTTCTTTTGTAATTTCCTCCCAAGCACAAAATAAGTCAAAACAGTTTTAAAGTATAGCCAAATAGACAAAAATCAAACGGGATAAATATTCAGATTGCCTATTGACCTTTCAAAACTGGGGAATCTGACAAGGTTTATTGCAATCCAAACTAAGTTGAAATTGTGAAGAATATTTTTTTGTGGTAATGTCATAAAAGGGGATGGAAATTAGGAAATAAAAAAACTTTTTAAAAAATAAGGTGGACATTATTTACTAATGTTTAAATTAATTAATATCACTTTTCTACTTTAAAAGCACTTAAATTTGTTTTGGGATTTTCCTAATCTCATCTTAATTTCTATAACATCTATTTCTGAAAGTGTTATATAACAGCAAAGACATTCAGGTAAATTGAGCCTGGAATTAAACCATATCTGAATAGCTTCATATCTACAATCCATAACTCAGCGACCATATATCTAGGCAAAAGATAAAGGGGACATTTATTAATATCCAGGCATGTACATTGTGACTTTGTCCATTTTCTCCTTCTGTTTCTCCCTACAATCTCTTAGGCTTTGATTGGAATCTGGTGTTCAAGTGGGATTACATGACACCTGAGCAAAGAAGAGCACGGCAAGGAAATCCAGTTGCTTCCATAAAGTATGTTCCTCCCAACACCCATCCCCTTACAAAACAATATTTTGTTGTTAGTAAGTGCAACTTTGATCTACCATCTCTGAAGTTAGACTTGGCAGGCTGCTGTTGTAATTAAATTGACACCTCCTAAAACACGCAACTCAGTATTGCCAAATGCAAGTGATTTCAAAATACCGCATACCTGAACACAGACATGACTAGTTTCTGCCATTTTCATACCTTACAACAAATGTATTGCTTTGACACTCCTTAACATTGCATTCTTAGATGAAACTATTACTGCAAATAATACATAGTGAAGCAGTACCTGCACAAGGTTTACATGCAGGTTGGGTACATTGCAAAAAAGCAAATTATAATGTTTTAAAAGCATGTGTGGAATTGAAATCTATTTTGTGTGGGCCTTGGGTTATTGGCTTACTTTCTTGCTGTGCAACCACATCTGGAAAGTAGAACAAATGACGTAAGGCTCTCTAATTAACATGGTGGCCAGATCAGCAGATAGAGAATTACTTGATCTCATAGTAATGTGCTGGGACCAAAAAAGTGCAACAAGAGATAAAAACATGTATATTTTTCTTGTTTTCATACTTTGATTATCACAGTAATAATCAAACTTAGATAGGCTGAAATTTAATTTTTCCAGTATTATTAAATTATTGTTAAAGGAATCATTTCTCTTCCCATGCAAGTATCAAAATTGGTATTGCTGCAAAGTTCTGTTATGCATAATAACGTTGCTTACACTAGCAGCACATTTTATAATTCTATAAGATTCTATGAAAAATAAACTTGAAAGCATGACTGTTATATGGTAGCAGAATATATTATTTAAGTTGGACAGATCATGGGGTAAAAATGCTAGTAAAATAATTCAAAGGTAACATTATTTAAGAACCAACTTATATCTTACAGAATAACTATGGCTTGATATTATTGTGTACTTTGTATTTCAGAAATTTTTCGTAACCAGTTATACATCTTATACATCAGTAATACATCTAAAGAATTAAGACCTAGTTGACCATATATAAATCTTGAGTTCATGAATGAGTGATAGAGTTTTCCATTGGAGCAATGAGTATAGATGGCTAATAAAGAATTTAATAGTTTTTAAATATGGACAGAAAGTACTCATTTGGAACCTTAAGATTTAATGTGTGAATATTTGATGCCCGTTGTCTGCTCTTTACGTCTTACTATTTCTTTTTAGAACACCAATGATAGCTGGTGGACTCTTTGTGATGGACAAACTTTATTTTGAAGAGTTGGGAAAGTATGATATGATGATGGATGTATGGGGTGGAGAAAATCTAGGTATGAATTTTTTACTTACAGCATTGTTTTTGAAGGCTAGCAAATCTTAGCCTCATTTTTGTCAGTTCATGTCTTTAGATCTCTGCCTGGAGTGGATTAAAGCAGCAGTTAATACTTTAAAGTAGGTTATTGGCAAATATTCAGCCACAACAGGGCTCCATTGTAAAATTAGTCTTTTTATCAAAAAAATAAGTATGAAGTAGAAAGTCAGAGAAATGTTTGAAGAAAGCAGCCACAGGATCTTTATATTTAAAAGTCATAAATTACTTGAAATGCATTCTGTGCTAATTAAAAATACTTGTCAAAGTGTTTCATTTAACAAGGTTGCAAAGATATTCTGTGCATTTTAAATACTTAAAAGTAGGGCATGTAGTTCATAGGAATAGTCATCATTGGGAATTTTCTTTAGATAAATTAAACTAATTTTGTATTATTAGTCTAGAAACTTATACTTTAAGAGCATATGTGACTTTATATTTAATTATAAATCTCAACTTCATTTTCTCATTCTGACACTTGGGTGTTCATATAAAAGCCAAGTAATTGTATGATGTCCATATTATTGTGGTTATCTGCTAAACATTGGATTTTGAGCCACCGTTTACTTATTTGAACTGCAAATACAGAAAGTGACCCATTTTGGATAGAACTATAATAACTCCATAGTTACATAAATATGCTTAATTTTTCAATTAAAAGCAGGGAATTTTTCACTTAAAAAAAAGTATCTTATTAGATGGAAAAGAAGCATGTATAGAAAGATGGAAGGGGGGGGGGGGGAAGGAAAAAAAACCTATTATGTGCATTGGTTGTTTTCTGAATGCAGAGATTTCATTCCGTGTGTGGCAATGCGGTGGGAGTCTTGAAATCATCCCGTGCAGCCGAGTTGGTCATGTCTTCCGCAAGCAACATCCTTATACCTTTCCAGGGGGAAGTGGAACTGTTTTTGCAAGGTAAATTTAAGACTTAATAACATTCATTCATTCATTCATTCATTCATTCATTCATTCATTCATTCATTCATTCATTCATTCATTTTACATGGCCATCCATCTCAGCAAGTGACTCCAGATAGCAAACAATCTTAAAATAAATTAAAAACAAATTTCCATCATAAATACAAAAATTAACATGCACAGCTAGGAAGAATGTCACAATCAATGGTTGTTAGCACATATAATCAAGAGATGGGGTCCTTCACCAAACAATAAAACCAAGACCATAACAAAAACAATACCAATCAGCAGAAATGTAAAAAAAATTTTTTTTTGCAGATTATATATTTACATTATAAAAATGTTTTATGTAGTTTTTGATTAGTTTATTTGAAAACTTCAATGTTATCATTAACATTGGAAACAAACTTTCAGAACAATGTAAAGACCTAGATGATAGCAAATCCTTTGTTATCATTATTATATGAATAATGATAACAAAGAATTTGCTATAGTCTATGTCATTACATTTGTATGTATACATACATATAGTATATAGTATTTTTTTTAGTTTGGAAACATTTCCAGATACATTTATTGTATACCATCCATGTGTTAATATATTCCTTGGTGATCCGGCAGGTTTTTTCCATTTTTTTTTGTTAAAACAGAAAAGGAATCAGTGTATCTCCAATATATAAACAAGTTTTGTATAGATCTACCTTAATTATTAAATATTAGCCTCTGTGCCAAATGGCTTAATAAGGTGGCATTTGGCTAGTGAAATCTGGGATTTGACTTTCATAAATCTGGAAAGCATCCTGTTGAGAGAAGTCTTAGGACTTGGAGTTTGCTAAGTGGTAGGTAGGGAATTGGAGATTGAGCAAAAGAATTCAGAACTCTTCTGAATTGCTAGCCAGAAATGTGCTTGATATACTTTAAAAGGTAGAATCACATCAGGGAAAGTAGAATACCGCATCCCTTCTAGTTCCACTTCTTCTAGTAGTTTGGGAGTGACATGATGAAGAATCTAGAAAAGACTACATAATCTGTTTTTTCCATGTGAGAACATAAGGTAATTGTGTCTTTAAAATGAGACAGTGCCTTGTACAAGATAAATGAGTATACGTAACTCCTACTTAGCCAGGGTTTTGGAGTATGGAACAATGCTAGATGTACTCTTTAGTCTAAGTATAGGAACTTTGTCTACTGACTCATAGCCAAAATAAAGTGATCCTTCATGCCATTTTCCTTCCACAAAGACAAATCCTGAAGAAAGGAGCTAAAGAATACAAAGCCAACAAATAGTTGTGCTTTTTGAGAGATAACATATTCTGCTTAGCGTTGCCCTTAAAGTGGAAGACTTTTCACTACCCAAAGGAGTAAACAAATACCAGAGCACAAAATTAATACTATGCCTTAAATTATTTTCAGAAATACACGCAGAGCAGCAGAAGTCTGGATGGATGAATACAAAAACTTCTATTATGCAGCAGTGCCTTCTGCCAGAAATGTACCTTATGGCAAGTAAGTCCAGTTATTTCTTTCAGCTATTTGAACCTATTGTCTGGAGGTGGCAGGGTGTAAATTAATGGTAATTAAAATAAGCACACAGCCTTATCTCTAATGTTGAATCAGAAGAAGGCAAGATGGTTCTCTGCCCCTTTTCAGACTTCTTCTGCTTGCTAACAGCTAGGGCAGCTGGAATAATGGGAATTGAGATCTAAAGGTTACAGAGAATTACTTAGCTGCCAGCTTCTTATATAAATAATAGGTTGTCCATAAAAATAGCTTTTTGATTGGCATAGTTTTTAGATGCAATGAAAAGCTTTTTCTCTCAATAGTATTCAAAGCCGAATGGAGTTGAGAAAGAGACTTAACTGCAAACCATTCAAGTGGTACCTTGAAAATGTATATCCTGAACTAAGGTAAGTTTTTATGCCTGTATAAAATTATTTTTACTGATGCCAGACTAATAAATGTAGTTTCAACTTTTTGTCTTCTGGGCCTTCCTTCTAATCTCTGTCTGACCTAATTTCTTCACAACCTGCACAGCATGGTTAGGTGGTGGATATCAGCCTAAGACAAGCTCTGGCTGCCCATTGCTCATATGCCGTAGAGGGTTGTTCTTCAGCAGTCAATCAGTTGCCATAGTCATATCTGGGGCTTTAAGTAAGGAAGCATTTCTGCATTGTTAGTCCTCCCTTTTTACCTCCAAAAGTTATTGGCTCATTGGAAACCTTGATGATAGGACCAGATAGTCTTGATTGTACAGCAGTGATAAGAAGAGCCAGAGCAGATGATAGAAGCATTTGCATAACCATAAGTATAACCTCATCATTTCCTAAATGTGGGAATTCCTGAAGAGGAAGTAATTTTCAGGGTGGGAATAAGAATGGATCCACACCATTGAGAAAACAAATGGCATTGATGATCATGTGCGATTAGATCTATTTTTTTCCCTTCATTTTAATGAAGGTAATATGTTTAACCCAATCAGTGCAATATAATTTTCTTACAGCTGAATCAGCAAGTACATTATGGCAGAATTAATTGTATAAGCAAGCTCGAAGTTGTCCTAAGCCACCCAGAGTCACCCATGTGTCAGCTGGGTGGCTATAAATATTTGTTTAATAAATAAATAAATCATTTCTTTATTAACTGCGATTTTAAATCTATTAAAGTTTGGGGGCCTGCTGATTGGGAAAGTTGTCTTTGTAATTGTAGACTACTCTATGTCATTGCTCTCGAGGTCTCCAGCTCTTCTGGAGCTTAGAATGAAGTTTGGGGACTTGGTGAGAGAAACCGAGTAAAACTGAAACTTGGGAAAACTCTACTGAACTGCGTAGCTGCATATCTAACATTGATGCAAAGTAGAATAAGTACTTAAAGTTGCATTTTAGTTAGAATGAACAAACTCCTCTCTCTCTTTTTCCCCCCTCAGGGTACCTGATCACCAGGATATAGCTTTTGGGGCTTTGCAGCAAGGAACTAATTGCCTTGACACATTAGGCCATTTTGCAGATGGCGTTGTCGGTGTTTATGAATGTCATAATGCTGGGGGAAATCAGGTATTATAATAATACATTTAAAAAATCATCACCTGATTCTTAAATAGGAGTGGAAAATCAATTTGTATTTCTAATTCTTTGTAACATCCCAATCTGAACTTTGATTGTATGACCATGGGTGCCTCAGTATCTGTAACTTCAGGCACAGATATTCAGCACCATTGCAATTAAGAGCAAAATGCCATTGAGCATATTTATATATATGTGTGTGTGTATCAGAGGTGGGTTCCTACCGGTTTGGCCGAGTGGGTAGTAACTCAGCCTCCCACGCCCCTGAACCAGTTCTCTCAGTGGCACCTTCTGCGCAGAAGCATTTTTTTTTTAGTGTTCTGCATGCACGCGTACCACGCATCAAGCGTGCATGCACTGTGCATTCCTGAGCGAACTGGCAGTAGCAACATCCGGAACCCATCCCTGATGTGTGTGTATGTGTGTGTGTATGTGTGTGTGTGTGTATGTGTATATATATACATGCACGCACACACACACACACACACACACACACACATTGTACATATATATATACCCATATAGAAATTCATACATACACACACTTTAGTAATATAATCTTTACAGCAAAGGTTTAATACAAGGGATATGAAAAAATAAAAAGGTTAAAACTAAAAGACAAAATATAGAAGAGAATGAAATAGGAAAAAGTATTTTAGTTGACCTGCCCTTCTCAGTTGCATGGGTTTATTTCTTTTCTGAATGAAAGGTAGGTACAATGACCTGCTCTGGAGGAAGAAGACACACACACCCCTTCCCTTTATGAATTCTTGTGAAGGGGAAGTACAGCTCTTTTGAATCCATTAAATGAATTTTAATGTGGAAAAAAGCAAACATTTTACATTTAGGCAGGGAAACTCAAAGGTATAAGTACAGATTAGGTGAGATCTGACTCAAAAACAGTAACTGTGAGAGGGACCTTGGAGTCCTAGTGGATGATCATTTAAATATAAGCCAGCAGTGTGCAGCAGCAGCCAAAAAAGCTAATACAATCCTGGGATGTATAAACAGAGGCACAGAATCAATATCATGTGAAATATTAGTGCTGCTTTATAAAACCCTAGGAAGACTATACTTGGAATACTGCAACCAATTTTGGTCACCATACTACCAAAGAGATGTTGAAACTTTGGAAAAAGTTCAAAGAAGAACAACTAAGATGACCAAAGGCCTGGAGACTAAACCATATGAAGAACGGCTGCAGGTTTTGGGTTTGGCTAGTCTAAAACAAAATAAGAATTAAAGGTGACATGATAGCAGTATTCTTGCTACAAAGAAGAGGGGGTCAAATTATTCTCCAAAGCACCAGAGGGCAGGACAAGAAACAACGGTTGGAAACTAATCAAAGAGAGAAGCAACCTGGAATTCAGGAGAAACTTCCTAACAGTGAGGACAATTAATAAGTGGAGCAGCTTTCCTTCAGAAATCGTGGGCGCTCCGTCACTGGAGGTTTTTAAGAAGAGACTAGACAGTCACTTATCTGAAATGGTATAGGTTCTCCTGCTAGAGCTGGGGGTTGGATTAGAAGACCTCCAAGGTCCCTTTCAGCTCTATTCTCTTCCAATTCCAATTCCTTGCATTTGCTGTGAAGAAGAGCAGAAGCTGAAGAGCAAATGGCTGTAGCTTGGATGCCTTTTCTTTAAGTAGGAGGCTCATCCCTGCTGCCTGCCTAGCCTCTGACATCAAGAGACTTTGCTTGCCAGGCCGCAAAAGGTGATCACATGACCCTGAGACCCAGCAACCGTCATAAATATGAACCAATTGCCAAGCATCTGAATTTTGATCACACGATCATAGGGATGCTGCAAAGGCCTTAACTGAAAAATAGTCATAGGTCACACATTTCAATGCTGCTGTAACTTTGAGCGGTCACTAAAAGAACTGTTGTAAGTTGAGGACTACCCGTAGGATTGTCTTATCTGGTAACTATGATAACTGCATGCTGTTGTGCCACAGTACCAGCAGATGGAGGTATATGACAAATTATTTCTAGTTAACTTTAAAGAGTGTTGCAAGTCTAGTAAACATAAGTACATAATTCTAAATACATTCTTATCTAATATTGAGCTTCCAAAAAAAACATGTTATTTGACTTTTTTTTCCAAAGGAAAAAAAGGAATGTAAGTTACCAGCAGTGTCAGGCATTTACTCCCTCTGCCCCAGTAATAGTTTTATTGCATTATGAGATGTGAATAATGTGAAATACAAATATTAACTGCAATATAAATCAGAAATGGTTAATACTATGATGGCATCGATAAGTTAGAACTTTAAAATTATAGTTTCTGAAGTGTTAATAAACTTAAGGTTGTATGAATCGTACAATCAAAGCTAAGTATGGCATTGCTAGAAAATTTTAGAATGCATATTATTTTATAATATAAAATATAATAATCAAAATATTTCTGTCCTTGAACTTAATTCTTAATGTCCTTGAACTTAATGCTAGAACCCACACTGTACTGTTATTTCCTATTGTTTAGAAATGTTGAAAAGAAAAGAGGAGCTGCTAAGTATTTGACTTCTAACTTTCCCTTTTACTTCTTCAACATTTCATTATTAAATTAATTTTCCTCACAAAATAGTTAGGTAGTTGGAAGGTAGGATTAAAAGAACTGGAATGATTGAAGTCAGGATGTGTATGTCGAGGGTAATTCTGTGTCATTGCTTTATGTTCCAGGAATGGGCCTTAACAAAGGACAAGTCAGTGAAGCATATGGATTTGTGCCTTACGGTGGTAGATCGAACTGCTAGCTCACTCATCAAACTTCAGGGCTGCAGAGAGAATGACAGTAGACAGGTCAGTACCTGGAGTGCAGCCACAGTTTTGAATGCTCTCCATGATGAGATGTGGCCCTCTAGACCAGAGGTCTTCAAACTTGGCAACTTTAAGACTTGTGGACTTCAACTCCCACAATTCTCCAGCCAGCACAAGTCTTAAAGTTGCCAAGTTTGGGGACCCCTGCTATAGACTTATACCTGTCTCTCCTTATGAACTCTGAACTCTTGGGATTTGTCCACTGTGAGGTTTCTCGCATGCTGTTGTAATGCAATCCCATTATAGTGTCTATAGCACCTAGAACCCAGGCATTCAGCCTCTGGTGTAGCTTAAAGAAATGTTGAAAAATTGCCATTATCAGTAAGATCAAAGATCACGTTTATTACCTATAAAAGACTAGTCACTTAACTATTTTTAATTAATTTGAGCTGATTTTTTAATTAAAGTTGAACTAATATAAAATTGAAATAAATTTACATATTTGTCTTGGCTACGTCCTTTATATTCAGGCTAGTCCAGAGGTGTCAAACTCGATTTCAGTGAGGGTTGTGTTTGACCTCAGGAGGGGGGAGGCTGGGGAGGGCGTGGCCAGTTCAACATCACTCTTGTCAGGTGCCTATGGTGGCATGTGGCCCTCCTGAGCTGGGGAGGCTGTGGCAGCCAAAAACAGGGCTCGAGAGCTTGTTTTCACTGGTAGAAGCACTGCGGGCTGGTCTTTCATTGTTTCCAGGGTGGCCCCGCAGGTCAGATCTAAGTACCCCACAGGCTGGATCCGGCTACTGGGCCTTGAGTTTGACATCCCTGGGCTAGGCCATCATTTAAAGGACTCTGACCTTCAGATTCCCCAAAGTGACACACCTCTGCTTCTATTTCCATCTCTTTGTTAGTGGAGATTGCTCATAGAAATCAAGCAACTGCCTGGCATCTGTATTAAATATCTGCTCTTGTTCTGGTTATGCCACATGCCCGTTACATTGATTATTTCTAATTACTCAGGATAATCGTTTCTTCAGACTTTTCCACTGCTTGTATGCATGGTCTGCATATATGAGTCAGCACCGTCTAATTGTAGTGTTTATTAAGCAAACTGCAGAGGAAAGATTGCCAGGTTTTCTGACTAGTACCACACCACCTATTGCCATCTTGAGTCAAAAAATGTTGGAAAATCAGAACTATGGACTCCAGATGATTAACAATCACATTACAGTAGAACCTCTGGTCGCGAACACTTCTGACCACGACCAAATCAGGTTCTGACCAAACAATTCACTTTTTTTTTTAACCTGATCACGAACACAGGTGGCGATCAAACACGGCCGCGGCCAATTTCCCCTTCCGCACCTCTTTTTTTGTAAGCGCCAAACACAGCGACCTCATGTGGCTGCTGCATTAATTTTGGTTAGGTTCGGGTCACAACCAAATCGGGTGGTGATCAAAGTTATGGAAGAAATTATGGTCGTGACCAGAGGTTCTACTGTATTCATTTCACTGCATTGCAAAAGTAAGGGAAACTTTTCATAGATTTTTTTTAAGACTAGTTTTTTTCTATATCAGGCAATATACAATTAATTGTATTTTTTGCCAAATAATTTTTATTTGTTGCTTTTTTTTAAAGGGTTCTGCAACAACCTGTGGTATTTTTACTTTGTGAAATATTTAGGGTTGAGTCTTTTTAAATACTTTAAAAATAGCTTATCTGTAATTAACATTCCTCTATTTGTTAGTCTACCTGTACTTCATATGTTTTCCTTTATAACACTCTCTGCGGGTGAGCTTTCCTTGCTGCTTTAATTCCTTTTTATTTTTGAGCTTTTAATTTTGTCCTAGCCTTCTGATTGCTTTCCTCCCAGTTCATAGGATAGTTTAAAGATTAGCAGTGCTACAACTATGGCACTCATCCAGATTAGTCAATTGTAAAAACTGTCCAGGATTGGAAGACGGTCCTGGACAGAATGGTCTAAATTAATTTTCTTAACCCTTTTTTCCTGTGTCATTTAAGATTGTAGTTGCAGAGAAGAGGCCGATCAACTCTTTGTTGCCCATGTCATCTTCCAGTGCCCATTTATGTTCTTTGAGCCAACTCTTGCTCTTTCAGAAATAATGCTATATAGACTTTAAAAAGACAACAGCAAACTGGATAGTTGTTACAAAAGTTGTCCTTACCTAAGTATAGGAAGGACTATGTAAAAATCCAGTGTTCTTGGGGGAGGGGGAGTAGAGCAGATGACATAAAACTATTTTAATTATGAAGACATTTTAAAGTCTGAGAGCTTGAAACTTGTTTTCCTTTGAATGAAGGCTGAATGGTTTGGAGCCCATCGTAAGGCGAGGTAGTCCTCAACTTACGACCATAATCGAGCCCAAAATTCTGTTGTTAAGTAGAGATTTGTTAAGTGAATTTTGCCACAAAATTTTACCTTTACTTTTCTTGCCACAATTGTTAAGTGAATCACTGCTGTTGTTAAGTTAGTAGCATGGTTGCTAAGTGAATCTGACTTTCCCATTGACTTTGCTTGTCAGAAGGATACAAGGACACTGCAACTTTTGTCATAAATATTCAAGCATGTGAATTTTGATCACGTGACGGGGTGCTGCAACGGTCGTAAGTGTGAAAAACGGTCCTAAGTCACTTTTTTCAGTGCCATTGTAACTTTGAACAGTCACTAAAGAAACTTTTGTAAGTCAAGGGCTATCTGTATGCCCCATCAATAAATATCTTCTAGAACTTTAAGTCCTGTGGACTTCAACTCCCAGAACCCCCCAACTAGCACTGGCTGGGGAATTCTGGGAGTTGAAGTCAACAGGACTTAAAGTCGCCGAGGTTGAGAAGCACTGTTCTAGAATGACCTTAGGAATATTGGTTATTTTTTAATAACTAATAATAAATAATATTTTTAAATTGTACTTGCCTAATCTGCGTAACTTTTTTTTTTCTAGAAATGGGAACAAATAGAAAGCAATACCAAACTGCGGTACGTGGGCAACAACTTGTGTTTAGACAGCCGAAATGCCAAAAACGGCGGTCTGACTGTTGAAGTCTGCAGTCCTTCACTGTCTCAGCAGTGGAAGTTCACACTGAATCTACAGCAGTAGAAACGCTCAGACAGATGTAACTGTCTCATTTCCTAAACCTTGGGCAACATTTTGATTGCATTACTGATACTTTATATACCTCAGTATTCCATCTTTTTCTGAAAAGTGAAGGTGAACATAAGGAAATCAAAGGAACTGGGGATCCTGCCATCATCTGATCAAATGTAGCTGAAGCAGTGCTCATCCCCCTCCCACCCACCCACCCCCTTCTTCCATCAAGGCCTGTTGGCTCCTCTCCACCTTCAACCCGGTATTTTCAGAGCAGTCGATTAACATCCTTAGAAACCAACAGATACATGGTAGAAACTTGCTTTCAAGACAGGGAAGGGAAGGGCGTACTTGGGAGGGAAGTGGCTGGAAGAACTTCACGAGCAGTCTCCATCATTCACATAAAAATAGGTGTTTGTGGTTTCCAGCAGTCAAAAGCATCATTTGGAAGGTTTTGCCATTTGTACTTGGTATATCAGACCGTGGATTTTTTTTTCTATGATGAGACTCTAGATATAAACGCTATATATAAATATAAATATATAAATATATATATATAAAATATATATTGTCAAAATTTACAACTTTCTATCGATTTTTCATCATCCTGTAATTTATCAACAAAGCGTTTTAACACTTGACTGGAACTTAGGTTGGACAGTTGTGGAAGAACAACATTTTTGTGAAGATGCAAGTTTGTGCCGCTGCCTTGTGTTCACACGCAAACACTGGATGCTTCTGCTTTGTAAAGTGTGCCTATTTTTTATTTTTTTTTGCACTTCGTTCTCCTGAAAGTGGTCAGACCTCTGTTGCAGAGGTTGGTGGAATGGCAGAAAGAGGCTTGCCTGCTTCATCTCACCAGCATACCTGTCACTTTCTGTTCAAGGAATTACATGCCGTGTGCTCTGGATAACTCCATGTATTTGTACTGAGCAACTTTAGACTACCTTGTGTCGAAAGCTAGGTTTAAAAAAAAATGCAGCTTTGGGGCTTTGGTTCTTGGTTTCTCCTCTTTGCCGTCTCTTCCTCCTTTTGAAAAGTTGTCAGAATGACAGATAGCACAAGACCCACAAGTAGCCTTCTTGTGAAATTACAAGCAAGCCTATGGCTAATGGCCAACATTGCAGCTGTGAGGCTTCTGCTCTTGAGTATCATGGTTTCAGGTTTTTCTTTGCGTCTTTTCACTATGTCTCAACAGTGGCGCAGAAGTAAAACTTTGTAAGTGATGGCTCCATTCTGCTGTTTTTATATCATAGCAATGCCATCTCTGCATGTCTTGTCCGCATCAACTTTTTTAAAAAAAACACAGTTTATGTAAAATTTTAAACAGAGAAATGAAAAAGTACACAGAACATGCCCCTCTCCCCAAGTGATTACAAAATGACAAAGGTAAATTATTATGCAATCATTTGTTGACAGTGTTTGTCTTCTGGCTATATGCGTTTGAGAGTATTCTGTAAAGTGCATTTTTCCATGACGGCCACAATATTTGTTGCAAAAAAAATTGGGCAGCTTTCCACTCAGATGAGGACTCTAGTTTTGCAATGTTTCAGATAAGCCGGCGAACCTTTGAATTTATATGGCATGCTTGTGGTTTCTGTTGATACTGTATTGAGATACTACATTGTTTTAATTAAGAATGATGATTCCATTGATAGGCTGAATGTGAATATTACTCTTTTCCAGACTAAATTTGCCTCCCTGTAATTAAAACATCTCATGTAATTATGTCCTTGACAGGAAAAATAATAAATGCGGCCTTTGCCTTTTAAAAAAAAATAATCATTTTTTTAAAGGCTGCCCAAGTCATGAGATGAAGGTAACCTTCATTTATAAAATTGGGGCATTGGGAGAGCATTAAAGTGCTTATTAAGTAACCAACTAATTATAATCCGGGGCTTCTGAGGAAGAACTTTTGAGGGTAAAGGAAGCTAAATTGTAAAGGGTTTTTTGAGAGGTTGAGGTAGAAGCTATCCAATAAATAGCTGATTTTGAATTCTGAAAAGCTACTATCTTGACTAATATTTAAGCAGGTGTGTTAGCAGGATTTCCAAAAAGTCTTAAATGTTATCTATGTTCGAGTTCTAGGGATGAAAGTGATCATTAGGCATGGACGCTGGATCAGAAAATGCAGTAATGTGATACTAGCTATGTTTACATGACACAGTGTGCCAAAGTTATTTACTGTGACTACATTCTTTTTTTTACACAACTACGGACTTCATGTGTATTGTACCAAGCACTGCTTTTGCACACCTCCTTGTCAGTGCAAAAATACTAAAGACCTTGTTGGAAAAGATTTTCAAACGAATTGAAGATATGCAGAAGCAGTCAGTGGTAGGTTTTGAAGTTAGATACAGGAAATAGTTGAACCTTCCCTTGATCTTTTTTATTGTAAACTACCAGGAAATTTAATAAGCAGTTACCATGTCATCTCTGTCCTAATCTTAGCTTCTTTAAAGCAAAAATAATGGTGGTACATGTACATTTCCTTTTACGAATTAAATGTGCTTTAGAAAATTATTTCTGTTGGTTCTTTAAAATCTGCTGTACAGAGCTTGTACTTTGTTCATTTTATAGATGGAAACCATCCTTGAAAAAAACTGTTTGTTTAACTTAAGAAAATAAATACTTTATAGATAAGATAACAAAGTTTGCTGTCATTCTGTCTGCATGTGCTGAAAACCTACCTGGTCAGTGTACATGAACTTTAGTGAACAGCTCTTGATCTACTCAGTTGATCAACTCTTGCCTATTGCCTTTATCTGCCACAATGTCTACAGTTAACAATGAACTTGGGACATTTTTTCCACATGTGCTTCACAACTAGAAAATTGTCTTATGGGGACTTGAAAAACCCTACCTTCGTCTACATTCTGGTCACCTGTGATTGATTTTCACCAATTTCATGTTTCCTAGTTGAGAACTGATTCAAGCAAGTGTTTTATTGCTGAATGCAGTTGTTATATTGTAAACAAAAATCTAAAACAGTGGGCACAAACCTCTCTTAATACAGCTCTTTTACCTTAATTTTGTTTGAGTTAAGGAACACTTCACAATTTGCCTACAATTTAAATGTAGGCAAACATACATCCAAACATAATTTGTATTTCTTAAAAGATTAGAATGTTCGGTGAAATGTGATATTTTCATCAATCACTTATGTCAATATAAATTTAGGAAAGCTTGATCTTAGTGTTTTAATTTTGAAAAACAAACGGGCAAAACTAAAATTTGAAATAAAAGCTTTAACATTTATTCTCATATTAATATATATACTAGATTAAACATGGTCGGCCTTACAGTCTCTGCACATTATCATAGTTGTTTACCTATCATGATTATTTGATTTATCAAAAGCAACATTTGTATAACTTTCTTTTCCTGGACAAATTTATCTTAAGACACAGGCTTGTTTATGCAATTGAATTCTGTTTCAGACTGCAAAGCATAAATAAAAAATATCTTCGTTTTATTTCATTGTGTTACTAACCTGTTCATGTTTGACCATGTGAATGCAAATATATAAATATCCATTTTTTTTGTTGAAAGCATGTTAGATTTCAGCAATTGAATTCTGCACTTAGGGAATTGGTACACATGAACTACTTTTATAAAGGAATGTGTTATTTTTTTTAAAAAAAAATAACTTAATTCATGGAAGTAGAATTGAAAACCATAATTGGAATCCAGCAAAATAAGAGGACCATGGTGTAATATTAGGCTAGTCTTCTGCAGTAAGTCCTCATAGTTAACAATTGATTCCTTTTTTTTATTTTCCTGCTGCTACCCGACTTATGCAACTGTTTCGTGTTCATGAGCCTTCAATGAAAAGCCATTGTCCTTGGGTAACCTGTTAGTAGCGCTTTGTCCAACAAGCAGGAAATTAATTTATCAGGCATAAAGAGTACAGAGCTTAGCCTTCCTGTTCTAAAAATTGTGTGGCTGAACTAGGAATAATTGTACTTCTTTTCACCTAAGCCAGAATTGAGGGCTCTTTGTGGCTATTTTGCAATGAAGCTCCTAAACCAAAAATTGCAGGCATATAGAATTCATGTATTGGCATGTAAGTTAATAGTAATTTTGAATTTTATAAACTTTGTCCTGACTACTTTGCAACAAAGAGGAAATCCACATTTTTGTTCCTAAAAGCATCGTATAGAGTCACTTTTGAGTGAAATCCAGTATCCTCAAAGATCACTGTAACAGAGTGCAATGACACATATAAATGAAACCCCCTTTTTTAAACATGTTAGATAACATATTTCAGAATACTTCCCATCCCCATATTCATAATGACATATCCTTAAATATGCAAATAGGTTTTGCTAGTGTATGTATCATCTTTAGATAGTGCCTTTTTGTATCCAGAATCAGCATGGAACACAGTTAATGCCAAGAGCACTTAAACTGACTTCACAGAGTATCAGGGTAGGTATTCTTTGAACCTAGACATAGCTTTATGATTTCTTGAAACAGGAATCAAAGGATTTCCATTTGCTGTTTAAATCAGAAGGATTCACGTAGCATCTTCCCAGATCAATATATTTCATTAAAAGTCAAGATATGGTGGGCCACAACAGATTTCAGATTCATTGGAGTGGCTAGACTGATGCTGGATTTAAATTGTGATAAAGTGGAAATATGGCTGGGGGAAATAGAGAAGGAAAACAATGGTTGCATCAGTTGACGTAAGGCAAATTACAAATGCCTTATCAATTAATAGTTGTAAAGTGTTAAAAATCCATTATTTATTGAGATCGCCTGAAATCTTTTGATGCATGTGAGTTTAGCAATCTTTTTTTCAATTGTTCCTGCTTCCAAGATGGCTACTCTGAGATTTGTCAAGGAGTAAGTGGAAAATTGAAATACTCTGATATGATTTAGTCTTTGTTTAGAGGCCTGATATCAAAACAGTCCACTAATTCTTCTGCACAAAATTTGGCATCTTAATCCTACATTGAATCAAGAAGTGCCTTACCGGCACATCTTCTAATGTAATATATGCAGTCATCTGCCAACTTTAATAACATTTGTTAGTCTGGAAAAGTAATATCTCTTTTCTTTTTATTTTTGGCTACCAGTCTAGCCTGGCTTTCATACAATGTCTACTTGCTGTACAGTATTTAAGACTGCAAAGAATTATATGCATGAAATACTACTTAAAGTATTAGAGGGATTTATCCTATTGCTTTATTGTGTCTAATCTTATTATCAAAATAACATGATTATGGTATTTTTTGCTTTCAAGGTTCAATAATTCGATTTCCTAAAATGCTCCCTTTCATTTCTATAACAACCATATTTCTGTGTTTAACTTTGAAAAAAATAATTGTTGTTCCTATAAACATCCGTTGTGGCTATTTAGTTTACCTGTGATAGAATCATAAAGGTAGATTAATGTGCCAGGCAAGATTGGTTTATATCCAAATATCTGGAATTAGGATGATGATGAAATGCTGCAGCAGAGATAAGGGATAATTGATTTTCCCACACAGTGTAACAAAATTGCATTCCACGAGTCAAAAGCCACACTTCCAATACAGTGTATTCTATATTTTACACTCATTCTATTTGTGATTATTACAAATTGTGCTTATTTAACAAGTGGGGAGGGGGAAATCATGCCTTGTTGGCATTTGCTGGTGAAACCTCTATATTGCACTCTCAGATCTGAGACATGATTGCTATTGCCTTTGGCATCAATAGAGGTTCATTATGTAGATTTTCAGCTACTTCCCAAAATATTTTTAGCTGGCTGGCATGTATCATAAAATTGTAGCACTTCAAGCAACCCCTTTTTGTATTCAAAAGACACCATTTAGCACAGCTGTTGAGTTGTTATTTCCAAGTTAAAGCTATCAACATATTTTATTAAAAGTATAATTGTAACTTATTCCAGAGGAGAATAAAATTTTGTTCCCAACTTAGACACTAATGAAATTCCAGGTTTTGAGTTAAAATTTGCACCTTATTCAATGTCTGAGATTTTGGATCCTTCTGTTATTTGGCATTTTTTTCTAAATTTAATGCAGTATTTTTACAAGGCAAAAAGTTAAGAAGATGTATAACAAATGATGTGGTGTAAATACATTTAGTTAGTTTAGTTAGATTTCCCTTACTCTTATTACCTACTTTTAATTTCCTTCTTTCACAATATCTTACTCTTGTTTTTCAATTTACATAACATTGTTTATCCTGAGAGATAATAGCATGATCAGTATGCTGGTTAGCCTCAAAGAGTAAATGCCACTTACTCTTATCATCAACATAGTATGTTGATTCAGGTTGATATAATGACATTAACCACTATTTTAATTTTTTTAATTTAATATGACTTGCTGCATGCCCATTTCATTCTTTTTTATGACCCAAATTTCTCCCACACCCCAGGAAAAATGAGACAAGGAAAACTAATTTATAATCTATATTTGACTGTATTTCAAAGTTGTTGACTGTAAGACAAACTTTGTGGAAGGAAGGAAAAATCACGTGACATCAGAGTGATATTATAAATCCATCCAGTTGTGTTGTTACCACATTTCACATTTTAGAATTTAACTCATGGCATAGAAAACCTCTAAAAATTTATTGCAAGCGTGCTTTTGTGTAGAACAAAAAACAGTCACAAAAATTTAGGTCCTCAGTTGACCCAAGGACCAGAAATACAGATGGGAACTTTGCTCATGTGTAGGGGCTTCCACACAAGCATTTCTTGAATAGATGCATATGTATAAAATCAATATTTTGTTTCAACTCAAATAATAAAACAGCACTGCACGTTTAATCCGTCATTGGCATGGTTTAACAAAAACCTCTTGTTCAACACACTTTGGGAAGGAAGCTTATGACTGAACTTCAGCCACTGATGGATGTATTGTGAGCAGAATTGATCACACACAAATTGCTGAACATACTTTTCACAATAACAGCACTACAATAGTGTACTGGGTATTACTTCATTTAATGACACATATGTTGCAAAAGTGGAAAGGAAAAAAAATTATAGCTCATAGGGCTTCCCTTCCAAATATCCCATTTATTTCCTATATTATGGTTTGGCCTTTTTTACTGAAATCAGCCCCTGAGCTCTTACTGTTGTGTGTTGACCAATAGTGCAGCAGCCGTAACATTGTAGTATGCATAGATGGAACAGACCTGGATCATTTCAGGCTTTGTTTATCAAGGACCTCCTATATTGATTGCTTTTATTTTTGAAGAGGAAAAGAATGAGGTCTCTATAATCAGAAAAGTACAGCATTTCCTAAACCAGTATAAGATAGATATTCATACTACTTTTTACAAAGCTGTCAACTCTATATCAATTGTTTTGGGCTTCTGCAGGCTTCTAGTTCATAGTATCCTTCGCTTTCCCTAACCAACTAAACACATTTTAATAGTAATGCTTTAGATAGATTAATTTACCTAGGCTGATTATTTTGATCTCCTCTAAATGTTCTTTTTTCTGAGTTGAACTTCTTTTTGTTGTTATGTCAGATTAAAACAAAAAAAGGCCAAAAATATGAAATGATAAGCTAAATTGCAACAACTATTTTCCTCTTCCCCATCTCCACTTTGTGGTGGAATGCAGGAACTTTGTTAATTGCACATGTTGATGCAGATTAATTTGCAAATGCCATTACAAAATTATTTTGAGAATGAATGATAGGAGTTAAGAGCTCCTAGAAGAATGGGAAAATGGCACTTTCCATTGGTCTTTCTGCTTACCAAACTGATTGCAAAATGTACTGATCCATGATCATAAAGGCAAGTGTCCTTCCATCTGCTGTTTAGGAATGTTATTTTCTACTCTGCATTTGTCCTACACTATAATTTTGTGGCATGAATTTTTTCAAGGGAAGAGAATTATTTTAAAAAAATCTCCTCAGATCTTGTCATGTCCTGAAACAAGTCGGATATTCGGAACATCCACACCTATTCAGCTTCCTAAATTTCACATTACCACCCAGAAAAGAGCTATTTTCACTTCATCCAATTAATTAATATGCTGCCTGAGCTCTGTACCTCAACACTTGAGAAGAATTGGGATGCCAATCGAGTGGGTGCAGAACGATACCAAAATCCAGGCTTGTAAGAAGAGTTTAAAGAGCAGCATTTTCACACTTTTAAAAAAATGTTACGTGACCTGGTTTAATATCTCTGTTCTACTTATTAAACCATGGTATAATAATTTACACAATTTTTGCAGAAACTGATGTTTAGTGTCACTGAGTGAAATATTGGTTATGTACCAGGATCTCACCTGAGTGACAATAAATGTTTAGTGTGCTATAAAGGCACAATGTATGTGCTATGTCTGATGACTTGACTGGGTTTATGTGCCCCTTGGATAGCTCTTGGGGAAGGCTCAATGTTATATATCTGTCAAGATTCTCAGTCATCCAGATCATGATTGTCTCAAAAGTGCTTTTTCAAAAGGCAACTGGTCTTTGTTTCTTCCTTGAGGAAGATGTTTCGCTTCTTATCCAAGAAGCTTCTTCAGAGCTGACTGAATGGCGGTGTATTGGTGACAAAGGAATATAAACCCTTCCCTCCCCAACACGACCATTCAGTCACAACCGAAGAAGCTTGGATGAGAAGTGAAACATTTTCCTCAAGGAAAAAAACAAAGTCCAAATTGCCTTTTGAAAAAGCATCTTTTAAATGCTTTCTGTCACAGTGATTTCCACCACTATACATGTCTTGATCTGGATAGTCTTTACAAAGATGAACACATAACTCAATACCCCAAGTTCGATGTTGAATATATGACTACATCCTTAACTTGAATACTTTTATAGTCTTCTGTTAGCATCAGGGTGCTATATCCTAATTTAAGCCCTGACAGGAGAACTCAAGGGCAGTCTACAAATCTGTAAGAGGAACATTGCTATTAAGAATCAGTGAGAGATTGGGAGGAAATTGAATGCTTAGAGACCCTTGTATAGAAATTCTAAATTTCAAGAAAAGTACAAGGAAGACTACAATACAAGTTCACATTTTAAAGAATGAAATATTACCAGTATTATCTTATATACCCAACCGGACATGGGAGACAAGCCCTCCTGCTGAATATTGCTAGTCCCAACAAAAAATGTTTTAAGGAAATTGGTAAAAGGTCAACCTTTCTCAAGAATACTTGTCCATATCCTTCAACTATGTTAAAGTTGAGGAAAGCTAACCTGTGTGAATTCAAGCAAATCAGCTTTATGTATGGTAAGAATTTTTCACCACAATAAGTCACTAAGACTGGCTAATTCTGTAAGAAGCATTTTGTGTTAAATGGAATGGAGTTCCTTGCTAAGGTCCTTGTACTTAATTAAAGTATATTTGAGGTGAGTAGGAAGATTTTCATGGTCAACCAATGTGGCTGAAATCCCTTCTTTGGGGGAAAAACCCACAAACTAAGCTTTGGATAAACAGGCATTATGCAACAAGTGAAAGTTTGAATAAAAAGGCATCATACTACTTTGCAAATGCTAACTATTTGGAAGCAAAATTGTGGTGCTCCCCCTTACACCGCAGAATTAGTTCTATCCACCATACTTGAATTGGCAGAAAACTCTACTAGGGTGTATGGCTGACTCCTATCCTGCCTCTATTTCCAGTCACTGGAGTCCCCTAACATCCTTCCAAAGAAATGGGTAACAAAGCGTAACAGATTTTACATACCTGATGGCTATTTTTAGACAGTTCAAAAAAAGCGGGGGGATAACACTCAGTAGGTAGTCTGTAGGTGAGATGACAGCATGGCAGAATTAAAAAGGTTGACAGAGTGTGTTTGTGCCATGGTTAAGTGTAAAGCTTGATTTAGACTTGTCCACAATTGTGTGTAGATGTCAACACATATTTATGCTGTGAAGGGATTGATGAGTAAGTGTAGGTTGCAGATGTTTGCAGATGGGCCAACACATACACTTCCCAAATCTCCACTAAATATTGTACGGAGATGTTCATCCTGCATGTTTATTGGTTTATCCATCTATGCTTTCTGTGCTTTGAGGTTTGAGTCTCCCCTAGCCAGAATTTATAGACATGTAACATTGTCTCTCTTTGAATGAGAGACAGGTGCATATTTTCCCTGACATGCAGTGACACAACAGTCTAAACCTGGCTTAAGTGGGGACAGATGTTTAAAATAATAAAATGTTCTTTTTTTAAAAAAAGACTTCAAAGCTGGACATAAACAGTAAATAACTAATTTAAGTGTAACTAATTAATTAAGATGTGACTATATCTCAATGGACATTTTCTAATTAACTGTTGAATACTACCTTTCTTATTGGCAGTTGCCATTGGCTAATGGCTATCAAAAGAGGGCAATCTTAGGAACCAAGATATATTCAATGCCTCAGTAACTAGGGCAAACTCCCTCAATTTGGGGGCTAATAGTCATGCTAGATAAGAGATGTAGGAACTGAAATCTATCATAGATGGAGAACATAATTGGAAGCTGACCTAAAACTCATAGTTCATTTTTATTAAGGAACAAGTAGGTCAGGAATGGGTAGGTGGAGAGATGGATTGCATACTACATTAGATTCAAAGCTCTTCCCTATGTTTGCAGCCTTGAAACTCCTGTTTAAATTTGGCAATAAAGCAGCACAGTGGTAGTAGTGGATGACATAAACTAAAATCAGTATGTTAGTATTACAATAGTACTTCATTAAAAATATAAGAAAATTGCCAAAAACCCAAAAGGCCCTTAAATTCTGCCTTCCTAGTAAAGTCTGCCTTTCTGGCTCCTTATCTTGTCTCCTGAGCCTTCAGAGGCTACTATATTTTCCTTTTTTGTTTTTAAAGTGCACCCACCAAATATCACCTCTGATGCAAATAAAGATTCATTGAGTTCTCTAGCCCTATTTTTTTGCAAACTGGATGCAAGAGGTAGCATGACAAAATTCCAAATGGTAAATTTGCTGTAAGCTTCACATCTGATTATACAATCTCAGCTGCCTAAGTCTTTTTTCATGGACTACAACTTCTGATGCAAAAATGAAGGGTCACAGAACTGTGAAAGACTACTCTATCTCAGAGTTTTGATAGAATTGGCTTGAATTTTAAGCTGGATTGTATACAAGTACAGGTGGGTCACAAAAACAAGCTTTTCTTTCTAATATTCAGTTTTGTAGGCTCCTCGTTGAAGTTCTTTATTCTTGATTAATTTTTGCTTTAAAATATTATGTCACTTCTTTTTCATAAGCATCATGACTAGCAATTCAATAGTGCAGGAGATGACAGTGGAGAAATCAGAAGGTGATGTGCAAATTTCTGATTCTTCATTATTAAAGAAGCAGCGTGCGTGCAAACCAATGCCTTACCTTTCCTTAACCTCCAACACCAACGCAGTAGAACACAAAGTCTACAGGAAATAGGATGGCTTTTTTATTGGAGGACTGTAAATTCTGATTGCCAAATCGCTAAGTCTGAACGGTTGTGGATACATCAGGGTTGCCTGTCATCATTAAGAGTTTTTCCTGGTGGACAGGCAATGCCTATCAAGAAGCAGGTTTGGACATGGGATCCTTCTGGACTCACAGCTTCTGCTAGAATAGAAGGTGGAAGCTGTGTGTGGATGCCTGTGCCCAGCTTCAGCTGGTATATCATTTGCAATTTGGCTTGCGGCAGGAAGAGCTAGCTACAGTAACTCATGCCCTGTCACCACATGGCTAGGCTACAGTACTCTATTAGGTACTGCCCTTAAAAATGCTGAGAAAATGCAATTGATTCAAATTGCACCAGCTCACATACTCACCAGCCCCTGTCATTGGGAGCACCTGACGTTGGTTTTATGGACCCTGAGCCCACCAAGACCCACAGAGGACATAAAGATGTTTACATTGATATCATCTCTGTGGTGGCCTTCCCAAATCTTTCCTTCCAGTTATGTCGGGCTTTTAACTACCTTGTTTCCCTGAAAATATGATCTATCCTGAAAATAAGATGTAGCATGTTTTACGCATGGGTCTAATATAAGCCCTAATTAAGTGCCTACACAGCCCCCCCAAATGAGCCCCACAGCCAGCTGGCTGGCCGCCCATTCTGTCTGATTGCTCGCTGTGCTGTCGACATGAGGTGAGGTGGTGTGTGTGCGTGTGTGTGTGTGGAGCTGCCCCACACACCCTGCACCAGCTTACTTCAAGACCCCTCCAGCCAGCCTATCCATATCCCAATAACTGCCTTGTGGCCATGGCATGTCACTTGGAATCCTGCTCCGTTATGGCTGTGAGCAAGCAGAAGAAGAGGACTGGTGGTCCTCTTGGATGGGGCTGCTAGGCTGCCACTAGGCTTGCTAGGCTGCAAGGTGTTGGGGTGTGGATGGCCTGGTTGCAGGGGCCCTGAGGTAAGCCTACGAGGGGACATGGGGCAGCTTCACCCCCCCACCTCACAGCGGCAGCACTAGCGCACTGTGCAGCCTCCTGCCCCACCATGAGCAAGCAGAAGAAGTGGGCTTCCCATACATGGGGGGGAAATGAAACCTAGTGCTTATTTTGGAGCCCAAAAGAAAATAAGTCTGGGTCTTATTTTCTGGGAAACACGGCATTAAACAATTATGACCATGATACTTAAACATATCTTCACATGTGTGATAACTTACTTTCCAAGGGAATGTCATCTCTGAATATTTGAATTGTATCACACAAAGCAATGCTACAAAGTCTGTCACTTCATTCTGTGCAAATTTTTTTCATGGCCACATGCCGCTGGTAGCTATGTGATTCTCAGCACTTTTTGTGCTGAAGTGGCGGCATGACAATTTTTTTCAAATGCTTTGGGACTGGTTCATCACAAAGTTTAACATGCAAATGTTTCTGATTGTCTACTATTGCAATGATCCCCCCCCCCAGAAAAGTGTTTAGTTCGTCATAAACAACAAGGCAGCAACATGGCCAAAACAATGGAATCATAATGAAGTAAACACCTTGAGAAAAAGCTAGCTGATGAGACTGACGTTAACTGAACAAAATAAGAAAACATTGTCATAACCTTTTAGAAGTCACTTCATGAACAGTATTCATTCAGCAGTAGTGAGACGTATAGTTTAAGATTGGGGGTTTCCAACCTTGACAACTTTACGAACTTGTGGACTTCAACTTCCAGAATTCCTCAGGAGGAATATATGAGGAATTCTGGGAGTTGAAGTCCACAAGTCGTAAAGTTGCTAAGTCGTTGAAGACTCCTGGTTTCGGTCTGTCCTCAAATAAAAGGGTACTTAGGTATTTTTCAGCATCTAGAAATGTTAAATTGCTTTGGGTAAGAGTTTTTTAAAGGACAAATGAAGATAACACACTTGGAAATATATTGTGCCTCACTCAGCAATTTCACAAATGACTCATCAACCCTCAACAAATTGTTTGTGTCATTTGGTTTTAGAGTTACCAATATTACCTTTAACTATTTCTGGATTTGGCATGCATGTTTATGCAGCACTATGGGGGTGCAGGCGGGGGGGGGGCGAGCACAGATCCAGCTACAGTTAAGGAGAAACTAGTTCCTCAGAGAACCTTTTATATCTTTTCTCACATTGTGTAGAAAAATTCAATGCCTGAAGAATAATACAGGATGATTGCAATTAAATCTCTTATGCTTTTGTTATGGCATAACTGAAATTAATCTTGGAGTGCAACTGACTTCAGTTAGCACAATGAACTTAGTTTGGTAAACTTTTCAGTTTCTCACTGTTCCTTTATATTAAAAAAAGCATTTTCTGTCAAAATTATACCCCTTTTACAATCTAAAAGCATTGCAACAAAATAAAATCTTCAGTCTACTGTCTTCATCTGCTGTTGCCTAATCACTGGCTTGCAAAATAGATTTTTACATTTTTTAATATATATATACATATATATTTCTCTTCTAGCAACCTCTTTTCAGCCACAAAGCAGTGCATAACTTTACACATTGTGCACTGATTTAAAAAAAAACACCCAATAACATGCCCAGCTGGAACTGCTGAGCCTTTCTAGCTTGAAAAGGGATAGGGAAAAGGATTTGTGTGACAACTAACACCCTGTTTGAAAAATCAGATTCAGCAATAGCTAACATAAATTCATTTCTGATACACCGGTGCCTATGTTGCACTCTCACACGTGCAGCTTCTATATGGTGCTCTCTTGAGGGCCCTTTGAACCAAGGCCATTGAGAAGGCACCAACATACTTAAAGGCTTCCCTAGTGATTTTGTCACATGGAATAGTAAGTTACCCATCTTGGCATCCCAGAGTTTGTTCCTTTTTCTTTCCTCCATCTCCCCCACTCCTAGCCTATGCTGTGAAGAAGGATCCATCAATGGCCTGGTGAAGGATCCTCCAATCCAAGCAGCTCCTTTACGAGTCTCTCACCAAACTGTACTCGGCTGTACTTTTTCACAGGATAGGCGTCAGACATTTTGTACAGGATGTAAGCATTGTTTATGGCAATGCTGATGGAAAACCAGAAGACTTGTTGCCAGGTCTTGTTTGGTTTATGAGAAATGAAATACCTAGAAAGCACCAAAGAGAGAAAGAGAGAGAAAATGGTGAGGTCATGAAATGAATTTTTAAAGTGTTTCTTAAGTCAAGAAGGAAGGGATATGTTCAAAAAGTGGTAGAATCCAAATGCAGGGTGGTCTAAATTTCCATTATCTTTCAAGGTTAATTATGACTGACATAGAACGATACTCCACATGTCACCTTCCAGAATATGTTAGCACTTCAATATCCAAAAGTTCTTTCAGCTGTGTGTCTGTTTTGTAAATTCATGTGGTGGTCCCAATGCTTTGTAAACCAGTAGGCAATCTAATTGGAGGTGGCAGGGATCCAGAAAGTTGATTACTGATTTCGTTAGGTTTTCTCATATTGTAATATTGAGATCTTCCTAGATTGAATGCTTCAGGCCTTTCAGACGTTGAGGAATAAGGGAAATAAGATGGCAGCCCTGAACAGCAGCCCAGCCCATCTTCTGCATTTAAATGAAGATCTCAAGTTGTATGTTATATTTACTACTGCAACCTTAAAATCAATGATTGATTTATTCCTAGTGGATTTCTGTGGTGTATTTCATATAATTTCATAGTATTATTTGTAGGAATCAGTGTGTCCCAGATTCATATTCAGTTTTCAATTGTTCTCCAAAGATAAGTGCCTTTGTGTATCAATGCACTAGAGGTGGGAGCAAAATCACAACAAACCAAATGAATAGGAACTAATCATGACCTCTAGAAGTCCTAAAATAAATCAATGAACCAAGCCTTTTTTAGTGTAGCCTTTGAATAGATCACAATAGATGCTTTTGAAAGCTCTGATTTCCTGTTTTTAAAGTAGGCAACACTTCACAAAACAGTCCTGCTCTTTTCTTGGCTGTTGATTACTGCACAACAATCCACCATCCAAATTGGCAACTTTACTGCTTACACAAGCCAGATTAGTGTGATGCTACAAGTACCCCTGGGATTTTTGCAAAAGCAGCTCACGCAAATACTACCTTAGAAACTAAATCTGGCTTCAGCTTCTAAGAATTCCACCTAATAAATTTCAATGAACTCTTGTATAAGAGCCTGAATAAGCGATGCCTCAGCTTGATTTTGCCAAGTTCTTTCCTATTTCTGTAGAGGTTCAGCAAGTTGCCAGAACAGCTAGTCCCATTCCACTGCTCCACTTTCAGGTCTATGGTACACTCTGCTCACAACTTTTTGGGGTATTCAGGATAGCAATGGCTATAAATCTCTCATGCACCAGAAATTCAGTTCTACAATCTAGATAACCACAGAAATCTTCATAGACATGGTTATTTTATTGCTTGCAAAAAGTCACATACACTCAGAAGATTTGTCTGATGCCAACACAGAAACCAAGACATATACATATATTTCAGTTGCTTAAATCTTTTCCTGCTGTCCTTTTTGGATAACAGATTCTTGGTCATTCCTTTATACACCTTCAAAATAGTAAGTAGTTGCTTACCATTTTAACATAGCAGTTCTATCTAGTCTAAGAAGTCCAGATCCCTGCCTTGCCAGCTTTACAGCTTAAGAGCACTGCAAATACCTTATATCATTGTAATCAGTGATGGGATTCAAATAATTTAACAACCGGTTCTCTGCCCTAATGATTTCTTCCAACAACCAGGTCACCAAACTGCTCAGAAACTTAACAACCAGTTCTCCCGAAGTGGTGCGAACTGGCTGAATCCCACCACTGATTGTAGTGTAATTGTCTGTATCTGTTTTTAGTAAACATTTTTCTCTCAATCATTACACAGAACCAAAAAAGAAGAGAAAAAGAGAGTGTAAGACATATCTTTAACTTTCTTTTTCCTTGGCACAAGATAGTGGTAGAGTCTTGTTTCATTTATTCCATGTTTTATTTCATTAAAATAATGGATTAAATTGTTCAAAATGTACCTTGAACATAAATGGCCTAGATCACAGTAGTGTGATTGTCATCTTGGAATTTATCATTCCAGTATTGTACAACAATTGACAAGCCATGCCGATTAAAATAGTCAACCACATGTACCATCAACTATAACACAATATATTTATAATCACACATGCTATTACTTACCATATTTTTCAGAGTGTAAGACACACTGGAGTATAAGACACCCCAAGGTTTTGAAGAGGCAAATTTAAAAAAAAAATTTTACACTTTGCAAACTTCCCAAAAACAGCCCATTTTTCACAAAAATGGACCAATTTTTTTCCAAAAAAAGGCATGAATAGCCTTTAGAGGACTTTCAGAGTGCTCCTGGGGGATGTCCCCCCAAAATGAGCAAAAACGGCCCCTTTTTCACGAAAAAGGCCCATTTTTTTTGTTAAAAAAAGTACATGCATAGCCTTTAGGAGGTTTATAGAGTACTTCTGGGGGCTGGTGGGAGGGCAAAATTGAGCAAAGAAACGGCCCATTTTTCACTCATTTCTGCCTTCCCCAGCCCCCAGGAGCTCTCTGAAAGCCTTCTACAGGCTCTGCACGCCCATTTTGGTTAAGAGGGCAGGGTTTCGGGAGGCAAAAAATGCCGTATTCAGTGTATAAGATGCACCCAGATTTTCAGCCTCTTTTTTGAGGGAAAAGTGTGCGTCTTATACTCCAAAAAATACGGTATATTTTATTATGCCACTCAGAAAAGGATATGGTTTTCTGACTTTGAAATATAAGCGGCTCCTACAATCTATCATCATTTCTAAAACCTCCTGTAAACTATAGATAATTTAGGGGGGGGGGAAACCTCCAGTAAGAGTGTTCAATGACCTTGGGTCAGACAATCTATTCTTTCTGCAGTTAAACTAAATACCAATATTCTTCCCTTCTTCTTTCCTTGGAAAAAAATACATCTGTATATTGAAAATGTAGCTTCTGAATTATTTCATTTTTTCTTTAACTTAAGCATTTTTTATGTGGACCAATTTGAAAATAGACTCCCATTAAGCCATTATGATTACAACACCATCAGCTCAAATGGATGATCTCTTGTTCTTCAAAGAGAAATTAGAGATTAATTCAATGATGTGTACTATATACAGTTTATCATACTTATTGAGCCAATGTTCCCACAACTGCACTTACACGAATGGATATTCTTCTGATACACTGGAACCCAAACTTCCAGAATCTAGCTGTTAAGTTATGGGTCACACTGATTGGCACTTGGTAGTCCAGACTATGGAAAACTGCCACATTATATCAAAAGTGTGGACAAAAATATTTATGTTTATTTATTTTTCAAATTTATGAATTGCCCAACTACCTTGGAAGACATTTTTTCCCCATGTTCCCCGGCCCACCACATTCTTTATATATGAGAAGTTAGCTTATTACAGTAGCTTGCTACAAATCTCTCCACTGATTTTACTGCATAAGAATTGAGACTACTAATGGTCTACTTAAAAACTCTCCTTGAGACAGAAGTTGAAGGATAGCTGAAAAATCTATTATTAAATGAAACTTCTCTGCAACAAGCTTGAATTTTCTGGACTTGCCCGCTACCATTTTACAGTGGCAAAGTCCATTTGGAGAGTCAATGATCTTTGAAAAGCTGGCAATACCACTAATTTCTCAGGCCTGTCAGGAAGCAACTTTGAAAACTGTGAGCAGGTTCTGTCTTTCCCTTCCTAAAATGTTTGCGAAATGTCCCAACTTTGTAGTCGGGCAGAGAATTCTTGTTTGCTCCACTCTGAGGCTTTATGCAATTCACGTGTTGAATGGCTGTTCCTGGTGTTTTGCAGGCCCAAGCTCTTTTTAAGGGAAAATGATTTGATCATATCACAAGGTCAAGGAAAATTTGCTTAAGCCATTGAATTTGGGGAACAGAGAGAACATTTCTCCCCCACCTCTCTAATCGATATCCTTTTATTTGTCCCCTTGTGAATTCCATACCTTCATTGGATATACAATCCAGTGGTAGGATTCAATTTTTTTAATACCGGTTCTGTGGGCATGGCTTGGTGGGCATGGCATGACTTGGTGGGCGTGGCTTTGTGGACATGGCAGGGGAAGGATATAGTAAAATCTCCATTCTCTCCCAGGACTTGGGAGACAGAGAATAGATGGGGTCGGGGCTGGTCAGAGTTGGTATTTACCAGTTCTCCAAACTACTCAAAATACGGATTCTCCAGAACCTGCTGAATACCACTTCTGATGCCATCCTTAGATACATAGCTGAGTTGAACCTATTTCATCTCGTTGAAATAATTTTGGAATAGGCTGAAAGGAAGACATTTTGGAAATTGTCGAGCTAATCCAAGCTACAATGAACCCAAAGCCAGAATGTACCCAGTCAAAATCTGCTGCTTAAAGCAGCCATCTCCTTCTGTCTAATAATTGGCTAATTCTGGAAACAGATATGTCATCTAAAGCCCTGCTTGGTGTCTTTGCAAACCCAAACAGATTTAATACTAAATATCAAAATGTAAATTTCTGCTTGTTGAAGAACAGGGCAGACAGGGAGATACAGAAACAGGGCTAACATTTTCTCGTATGCTGCAGTCTTGCTAGAAATCTCTTTCCCTTTCCAAAGCCACTACCACCCCCAGTCCTCTTCTCTTGTTTTCAAGTGAAAAAGAAAGGTTAAATAATCACCTCTGATTATAGAATGTCTGTGAAAATGTATTTGGGAGCATAAAAGCAGGGTTAAAAAAATAAGTAAAGAAGATTAGAGAAACCATACTGGTATAATTATGTTCCTAACACAATCCGTGTGTGTGAGAGAGAGAGGGGGGGGGAGGGAGAGGGAGAGATGGAGAGAGAGGGAGAGGGAGGGAGGGGGAGACAGGGAAGGAGGGAGAGGGAGGGAGGGAGAGGTAGAGGGACGGAGGGAGAGGGGGAGAGAGAGGGGGGGATGAACATATGTTCTTTTGAGTCACCATTCATTTCTGGCAACTGCTTGAATAAATCCCTGCAGTTTTCTTGAAAAGATTTCAGAAGTGGTTTGCCCCTACTTACTTCCTAGGGCTGTGAGAGAGTGACTGACCCAAGATCTACCCAGCTGGCTTTGTGCTAGAGTTGCACTATAACTTATGGTCTTCTAGTTTCTACCCAGATGCCTTCGGCTCTACACCAAAGTGGTTCTCTTTTCCTGTGGAAGAACATTAAAATGTGCAGTTTGCACTGTCTAGAGGCTACTTTTTCTATATTATAATATATTTGTAAATATAAGAATATTATTTTATATAATTTTAACTATTGGACACAAATCTATAGCAGACTACAAAATCAAATCAATTCAATCTTTCTGTTCTGACTTAGGCTTCCCGAGAGCATGAAGCAAACTCCTTGTCCCGATGAAAACCCCTTTTATTAATTTACTGTGAATTCTGCTCATTCACATCCAGCAAAGTCTTTCAAGGGAGGATTTACAGTTATAGATCTTATCTGGCTTGGAGAACTGATAGGCTGATATCTGCAAAACTTGGCAAGGAGTCTCGGAGCGAACTCATTGTCTCCTGCAAGCTCAACTCCCCTTTTGTTCCTCTTTTATTTCCTCTGGGAGGGGCCGTTCATTGTCCACCAATGGCCTTACTCCCAAGTTGATCCCTGTTTTTAGCTGTTCCCTTCATCTGGAAACTGTGCAGGCACACATTGGGAACAGGCTCCAACTGTTCGTCTGCCCCACTGATGTCTGACTCTGAAGGCAGCTGATAACTGGCATAAGGCTCTGGCTCCCACTCTGCCTCAGACACAGAAGCCTCATCAGAGCCTTTCCTAGACTCCAGGACTGACCCATGTGCCTCCCCAACCTCTTCACGATCCAAATCTGCTGCCAGCTCCACTGGCGGGCCACAACACTTTCTTACAGTTATTAGCTAGCATAAATCCACATAATCGTACAACTGGGAGATGTCTGCTTGTTTACTGAGTCTAAATTCACCCCTCGCCCCCGGTCTAAATTCAATTTAGGAATATAAATAAAGCATCCATGATAGAGGACCTAGAAGTGTATGAATGCACAGAACAAAGCTATCACTTTATTTGGTAAGTGATTCCAGTACCAAGCTATTCTTACTGTTGGAAAGAGTTGGAATCTCCTTTCCTGTGCTATTATCTGCCCTCTGAAATGAAAGGAAGCAGATTGTAATCTTATTATGTATGTAACAGTTTTTAAAATATTTCAGGAGTTCTACCATATTCCCCTAAGGTCTCTTCTTAAGGCTAATAATATTCAGTTTCCCCAATCTTTCCTTAGAACTTATGTTTCTATTCCTGTAATGGTCCTCAGTGCTCTTATTTAAATTAGCTGTATTTCCTTTGAATCTTTTGAAGTACTGCAGAACTGAAAATTTGACTAGTGCAGTTTGGAAATAAACAACTGTACATATATTATGTCCAAATACTTAGAAGTTGCTAAAGTGACATTTTTAAAAAGAAATCTTCTGCCAAAAATGGTTACAGATCGTTTTCAGAAAAGTTGGTAGGTAATTTCTTATATAACCCTGGTGCTACACAAAGAGTCATATTGGGTCCTGAATTTTATTTAAATAACTAAGAAATGTTTTGCACTTCCAAACACATAAGTTGTTGTGTACTTACTTGCTATATTTGTCATCATATTTGCAAATATAACTAAGATGAGCAGCAAAGGCTTCCACTGCCAGAGGGCATGGGATCTCTCCACTCTTCCTCTTAATGATAACTCCTGTTGCAACCAAAATGCATAAAATACCATCATGTCATACTGTTGATTGAAAATACTACTGGATTTGTTGACTCATTGGGCAGCACGTCATCCCATCCTGATTTTAAGCTTATTGAGAAGAAAGTCCTACTGGGCTCAGTATTCAAAGAACAAATGAGAAGTAGGATACTATACAGCAGGGGTATCCAACCTTGGCAACTTTACAACCTGTGGACTTCCCTAGACAGCAAGGAGAGTTGGATTCTGGGAGTTGAAGTCCACCAGTCTTAAAGTGACCAAGGTTGGACATTCCTGTTACACAGTATTAGTTTCCAAATGTTAAGAAAATCTTTAGAAAGTGGAGTCAAGAGGCAATAATTACAAGGGATAGTTTTGAAGAGTTCTATAAATAGGCTAGCTTTACTAGCCTTCTTCCTTTCTTATGTTGAGATGTTTATGGAAACGACTGAGGAAAATACACGTAGACACCTGTCTAATTCTGTTTGTTACATAGAAACATTACTGGCTGTAAGGCACAGTAACCCTTTAATACCCCTTGTCAGAATATTTCCAGTTGTCTGCAGAGAGGACAGCTGTTTGCTAAGGGTTCTTGGTCTTCAAGGAATTTGCTAAATGCTTGTAAAGTGTGCCATATTACATTGGCAGATTCTAAAGAGGGGCTACTTTTCATGCTGCTTGAGTTGAGTAACTTGTTGACTTTTAAATAATCACGTAGCAGATAGAGAGGAATCTGATTTCCTTAAATCTAAGAATTGTTAAATCCCATTGATTTCTGTAGAAAGTTGGTAAATGTCAATTCAGAAGCCCAGTTTAGTTCATCAAAACTGCCCTTAATTTAATATATACTGAATTGCTTTCTAACTTATTTAAAATCAACTGGACATCGCACATATTATGCTTAATTTTGAATGCATCTTCTCATTTAACATAACCAATTCTCATATACATACATACATACATACATACATACATACATACATACATACATACATACATACATATGCTGGTCTTGTATTCAGGTTTTTTCCTGTGTAAGATTGAGATTGTCTTGGCAACGTTTTGGCGAGGTCTCACTTGCCATCTTCACGTTGGTGTGCTTTGTGCTTGTATGAGTAAGGCATGGTCGAAGCTGTCATCTTTTTATAAATCTTGGTGGGTGGGTGTGGAGTGCTGACTTTGTTGCTGTAAGTGGTGTGATTGGCTGTGTAATTGCATCCTGATTAGTAGATGGAGTTGATGTTTCTAGATTGGTCAGCTGTTTTGTATCATCCTGTGTGGCTGAGGTGCTGGCTGTGTTTCTGTTGTTCTTTTGTGTTGTAACGACCTGGGTGGTGGGTGGGGTTCATTTGTTGACTAGGGCTGGTTTCCAGATGTCTGGTAGTCGGGAGGTATCATCACGTTTATTCAGGACATGAAATTGATTTTGAAGGAACCAAATTAATCTCCAAAACAGAACACTTCAACGAGAGAATAATTATGGAAGCCATCGAAATAGAGAAACACCCCCACAACATGAATAAATGAAAGACAGCTCCGACCACGCCTTACTCGCACAAACCCAAAGCCAAAAACACCAATATGAAGATGGTGAGTGGGACCTCGCCGAAACGTTGCCAAGACAATCTCAATCTTACACGGGAAAAGACCCGAATACAACAAGACAGCATACCTACACCCGTGAAAATCTACGAATATATATAGTGTCACAACCCCTGGTATGCCCAAATATGGGAGGAAGCCTACTGCTTCCTTTCTCTGTCTATCGGCCTGTCACAAGAGACCATCCAGACAGAAACCCAATATTTTTACTGTTGCCTTTGTTACATTTGTGTTGTATTTGTGCTGATAAATAAATAAAGGGAGACTAGTATAGATCTATTTCAAGCTATTTAGCTCTCATCAGCTAGCCATACCCTTACTGGGATTTGAACCTGGGCTGTATTACATATTAGGCAGATATGTTAACCACTAAGCCACAAGGTTCTCTCCTTTATCAGCTGAGCCAGGGAAATAAATATGTATTTAGTGTCACAACCCCTATGACACTAAATATATATTAGCTTGATATATAAATAGCTTTAAATAGGTCTATACTAGTCTCACTTTATTTATTTATCAGCACAAATACAACACAAATGTAACAAAGGCAACATTAAAAAATGGTTTTCTGCCTGGATGGCTCCTAGGGTGATCCGAAAGACAGAAAAGGGAAGCAGTATGCTCCGTCCCATATTTGGGCATAACAGGGATTGTGACATAATACATACATACATATGGACAGACGGACATATGAATGTATGTATATATGGATGGATGGATGGATGGATGGATGGATGGATGCGTGCATATGTGTACACACACACACACACACACACATATGGAAATAACAATAGCAAATTTGTACATCCACATGAATAATGGAAAGAGAGAATGATTAACCCTTCCTCTACTAGTGTCTTAAGTAACGACAGAATCTCAAGATGTTGCTCAAAGATATGTGTGATTTAAATTTATAAAATATGTGCATGGCATTAAAAGGTGCAGTTAACTTTATTTTGTTCTAGATTCTAATTTAAATTGTCCAAATTTCTTACAGTTCAGACCTTGCATATTCCCCTTCTCATAGATAGAAGTCATCTTTATAACAAAACACTCACCTTGTTGATTTGGAGAATAAGCATTGGTCAAAAATCTAAAGTAGCCTTTGTTGTACCAGCAGATCAAAGACATATTTCCCTTCATTTTTATTCTGTAATGTCCTCGAGGCTGTGGGGTCTCTGGGTTGTTTAGCATGGAGGAAGGCAGCCCTGTACAGTCACTTTTCCTTATACTTAGCAATCCACAGCAATAAATGTCTATAGTTGGAAGATGATAAAACATTTGCATTAGAATACTATCAACTTGTGCTTCTAGCATAAAACATGAACCAAGTCATATTTTTATTTACCAAAAATGATCCCAAGCAAATACTGCACCTCAGTCACACACTGGTTTGTTGTCCTATTATCCTCCACACTTTCAAACATTAAAATCTGAAAGATTTGATATGTAGTTTATTCATTTCGGAACGGAATATGATATGCCCAGGATAAGATGACACAACTAATTTCATCATTTATTTACATAACCATATGTATCTTATCAATCTTCAAACTAAAAAGTGCAATTACAATAAAAACCAGAGGTCTGTAGAGATTCTCAGTCATCTAGGACATGATTATCCCAAAGGTGCTCCCCCGCAGGAGGGAACTGGACTTTCTTGTTTTTTTCTTTGAAGACATTTTGCTTCTCATCCAAGAAGCTTCTTCAGCTCTGACAGGATAGTGGGGAATGGCAGGATTTATATTCCTTGCAGGTAGCTGGTCACTTGCCTCCTTTTAGAGCATTGTTGAAGCACTTGGAAGTGTGCAAGGACTATAAATCCTTCCATTCCCTATTATCCTGTCAGAACTGAAGAAGTTTCTTGGGTGAGAAGCAAAACATCTTCAAGGAAAAAAGAAGAACTGAAAAAAAACCACCTTTGGGATAATAAAAACCAGAAGTAATTAAAGCAACACCTTTTCTTTAGTTCCGACTAGCTGTAAAAAAAGAGTATCATCTGAACAGAAGTCACATCTCTCATGAAACTGTTTTGAAATGTTGCATAGAAAATCTAGTGATAGGTAAACATATGATTTGATCACAAGACGTTTATCGGTGTACACTTGTGTGAAAGAGCCCCTAATCTTAGTAAGGAGCAACTGCATCAATGGTCAATGGTTCCAAAATGGTGGGTAGACTTGGATAATCAGAACCTCACCTCTTTTTAACATGGGTCAAAGGTGGGGTTCTGATTGCCTGTTACATCCACCATGTTGAAGCCAATGGCTTCCAACCAACCTGATCTGTGCTGGGGATCTCTGATTCATTGTTAAAATGAAAAGAGAAATTCTAGCTTAAAATACTCTGAAGAGGCTCTTCAAAGGACTATGTTAATAAATGAGATGTGCAAAACGTAAAACAACTGAAAGGGAAACACACAGTGACTAGGAGAACATGCAATCAAATTTAACTGTGTCTGAATCAATTGTCTTGTTTTTTGTTTTTAAGTCTGAATCACATGTTTCATCAAAGGTTCATTGTGCCACAACACAACAGTGCAAAAATTGGAGTGCATGAAGGCAGTCCAGATTATCACAGTCTGATCATATGCTGGTCCTTCATCTAATGTGGTCTATTGAATGTCTCCATGCACAGAATCAAACCCTTTATCTCACACTCAGTCTAAGAAAGAAAAAAAGGTAGCCTCTACACATTTACTGGTTCCTTCTTCAATAGCTTTTGAGTAGGTATTTTCATGCCACCTGTCACTTTGAATGACCTTGCTGTTGAAGCAAACAGCAAATGGCTTTTTTTCCAAAACAAACAATAAAGACTGAGGGTCTCTCTCTGCCTCTTTGTCTCTTTGTCTCTTTGTCTCTCTGTCTCTGTCTCTCTCTGTCTCTCTCTGTCTCTGTCTCTGTCTCTCTCTCTCTCTCTCTCTCTCTCTCTCTCTCTCTCTCTCTCTCTCTCT